TCGCTATCTGTTAAAAATGTAAAAGTATAGTAATAATTTAAAGTAGTATGTGATTCGGAATAATCTATATTCATAATATCGTATGTGGGATTCGAACGTAGGACGTTCGGACTCGTAGGCAGACTCTTAAACTGTGTTAGTTTTTAACTTCAACTAATCCACGATATTTCACAACCGTTCACTATTGTCGCCGGTGAGTACCTGCCCTGAAAACAAACATGGTTGAATTCCACTGTCCACATTTTTTCAATTATTTATTTATTTCAAAACATAAATATTGGTACAATTGGAAAGCAAATACACAGGCACCACACAAATCAACTGATTTGTGTGATCCGTGTTCACTAACTTGGGTAAATCGATGGATATTCGCTTTTCATCCTGTCATTTTTGTAAATAACACACCTGCCACTAGAAGGCAGAAAGTATAATTTCTCTGACAGTGGCTGTATACGCGTGGCCATATGAGAGCATCTGGAGAGGGTAAGCTGACTCTCTACACCCTAATTGCCTAATTGAAGATGAATTATAACATTATTGGAATAACATTAAAATGTATTTAATCAAAGATTAATCATTTAGAATAGATACTTTTCAAGTAACAAGCGGAGTCAGAAATAGCTGCTTACTCTTTATCTTTATCTTTTTTCTGGTGTTCGACTGGATTATGAAGACATCGACATTTGAGAAGAAAGGTGTGAATTACAATGGTCAACTCCGAACCGATTAGAAGATTTGGATTTTGTAGATTAACTGACCTCCCTATCCCATACACATCAACAGATGCCGATAAAGACAACTAGTATATCGGCAGTCTTTGTCTCAGTAGGCATCAACACAGAGAAGGAAAAAAGCAAGATCCTCAAAGACAGCACTGAGAACATCGACGTAATCACACTTAGTGAAGAAACTTTGGAAGACGTGGAAACATTTATGTATCTCGGTAGCGTCGCTGATAAGCGTGAAGGATGTAATGCAGATACAAAGGCAAGGATTAGCAAAACAATAGCAGCATTTCCACAGTTGAAGAACATATGGTACCCAAAATAATTGTTTGCCAGCGAATATCAGAGTGAGAATACGGGCGTTAAAATAGTTCTACCGTACGGAGCTTAAACTTCGAGAACTACCACAACCATTATCAAAAACGTACAGGTATTTATAAACAATTGTCTATACAATATGCTCAGTATCCGTTGACCGGATACTACAGCCGCCTACTGTGAGGGAGAACAAACCAGCTACCAGCTGAAGAGGAAATTAAAAGAACTCGTTGGAAGTGGATAGGATACACATTTCGAAAATCATGAAACTGAATCACGAGACAAGCATCAACTTGGAATCCTTAAGAGAAAATGAGAATAGTAAGGCCAAAGTACACGCTACGTTAGGTAATCAGAATCAGAGATGAAAAGGATGAATAGTATTTATAAACAACTGGAAAGAATTGTCCAGGATAAAATTAGATGGAGAATGTTGTTGAGCGGTCTATTCTCCTCTATGATGGGTAAAAGACGTTATGTAGTAAGAAAGAATAATCAATTATCTATATTTTAAAAGAGATAAGATGTAACTAAGAGATCGGTAGTCCTATTACCCAGATAGAGAACATAGAAAAATACCTTTGAGTTTTAACAAATTCCAATTATAAGTAATGAATATTCTATTTAATGGAAATATTGAGATTGAGCTTTGTTCAGAGTTCATAAATGTTTTTATTATGATCAACAAGTAACAAGCGGTAAACTGTTTAATGGTCATAGCTTTTAAATTCATTGTTGTCAAAGGTAAATGTTATATCCTGATGAGAAAAGTGGATAGTAACTGTTGGGATCCATTTATGGATCTATACGATATATATATTTTACTGTATAATTGTTACGTGTATATTCACGGTCCTCTTATTAAATATTCTTCTGGAGCTCCTCTGAGGCTACTGCTGGTCTCATGTCCGGATAAAGGAGGAGGGTCGGGTATGGAGTTAGCGACCCAAACCCGTAGGGTACTAACTCGCTAAAAAACGCCATTTAGAAAAAATAATTCAAATCATTTGAACTCTGCCCTGGGAAATAGAAAATGTTCATTTAGAAGAGTTATGATGTCTCATGATGAAAGCCGAATTCTTTCGGAAGTCACGAGACTGATGCTTGTTCTTAAAACCAGAGCAACCATTAATGTAGGTACATGGTATTCTCATACATTGTGAGAGACCTTAATATAAGCTTTATTTTGACTAAAGGTCTATTATTAAACCATTTAGCATTCTCGAGTTATGCCCTGTCAATTAATTACAGTCTATCACATTCACAACCACTTTTGGCTAAATCTTGTACGAATGCTGTTTCCTATTTTATGGCACGATGTGGTCTGTTTGGTTTGTATACAAACTCTTTAAATTTGAAATACATGATTCATATCACGAAGGTTGAGATTTGTGTTCAGGAATTAACAGACAGGTAGGGCTAGGTAGGAAGCTGGACCGATAAGTACTCTAGACTGCTCGTACCGGTTTATGCGTCATTGTTACGGTCAATAAATCACTATTCTTTAATTGACGGTTTCAAGACGTTATATATTAATGGAATCACGAATACACTAGTTATAACAGTACATTCGCTACTATGAGTATAAAGCCCTTCTAGCTGTTCTTATAATATACATGTTTCTACTTTCTTTATGTATAATTTGATATGTACAATTGAAAGTGACATATAATGAATAAATGTTTCACCTTAAGCATGACACATGTTGTATGCTCTGTAGTTATTGCTTGTTGCGAAATTTTAAAAAAAATTTAAGCAAAGATATTGGTTAGTAGTGAAACCCAGTTTGACGCTTATTTTCTCCGATCTGGGACTCATCAATTGAATGTACCTCAATCCCAGAGTTGATATTCATTCTGTGACTCAAATACCAGTACCGTTCGTTTTAAATTCCAATGCGTTAACCACTTAGCTACTGAGTGCTGATAGCCAATCGCTTGTGCAATCGGGTGAAGTTTAAATTGGTGTTGTTTTGTTTGCATATTTATACGTACTGATTCCAGTTAAGGAGTGAATATCAACTCTAAGATGCAGGTACATCAAGCCGAACAGTCTCAATTGGAACAAAACACGTGTCAAACCGAATTCCACTACTAGCCACCATTCAGTTTTGCTCAAGTAGCTTGTGACCTAAGGCTATATCGAGGCGATCCGCACATAATCACATAGTCCAACAAGAGACTGATCAATTACAGTCATAAAACAATAGTGAGAATTTACATGTTAAACAACACCAAGGGAATCTATGGAAAGAATTGTTTCATAATAAGTTTAGTCTTTCAAATATCAAGTTTTCTTTTGAACTCCTTACTTAATGAAATTCACATAAATTATGTAGATCAATTATAAGAAGAATACAAGGGTAAAGAACAACCATACCTATCCTCTGTTATTAACGATAATAGTGAACCATAGTACTACATAACAGAAACAACACATGATGTTTGCGAATACTGACGATCGTATAGTCTGATATCCCACTTGATCCTTAATCATCATCGTCGTCCATCAACTTCGTTTTTATCCTTTATAACAGTGTGAACAATATCCAGATGCTGGGATTGCGTCGAGTGACACTTTATGAAGTCTTCTCGTTTCAGAATCGTCGTCTACCATGTCGTATCCCATCCTGTTGTACATAAAAGTATTTGTTACAATAGGCAAACTAGACACTAACCGTTTAAGATTACGAAGAATATACAGATATTACTCAATGCTCTGTGAATATTTTTCCACTTCATGTACCTGCATCACAGAGTTGATGTTACGCACAGTATGCACAGATGCCAATAAGAGATAAATGAATCAATTACAGTCCTAAAAAACAATGGGACGATTCAAGTAAACAATGACAAGCGAATCTAAATTTCACCTCATTGCACAAGCTAGTGACTATCAGGACTCCGTGTGTAAGAGGATAACGCGATGGCGTTTGAAGTGAACAGTAGCGGGTTTGAGTCACAGAGTGAACATCAACTCTGAGATTCAAGTACATCCAGCTGAAAAGTTTTAAATAGGATGAAAAGTACGTCTTGTTTTCTACTACTAGCTACTATCCATCTGTACTTATAATCCTTTTGACTTAAGGCAATATAAAGGCAATACGTACAGGATATACACATGTCAATAAGAGAGAAACTGATCCATCACAGTCTGAAACATCAATGCAAAAATTCAAGTAAACAGCAATACCAAGTGTATTTATTACAATCTACTTCATCACTTCATTTGTGCCAGAAATAATTTCTTCATATGGAATTTAACTGTTTACTAATAAAAACTAAGACTTAAAATATTTATTCATATTAGAATTTTAATGGTTAAATTCATGAGTCAATTGAAGACAAAACACCATGAAAAACCTGGAACCACTGAACAGCCGTTTCCATCTAGTATGGGAATCCTGGGCTGTGAACATCCACAATATGGCGTCCGTCTCCAAGAGGTATTTCCTGAAGTCCTAGTGAGAGGCCATGACCAGAGGAGTTCAACCGGTCTTATTATGAGATAGTAACTCAGTGAAGACAATGGTGGATGTGTCGTTCAATTTCGTGGATTAGTTGGAGTTAAACATTAACACCGGTGGATTCCGGTGTGCGAGACTGATAGGTCCTTGGTTCGAATCTCGAGAGGCAGAATCGTGAATGGGCATTGCAAAGGAGGAGTCCAATACTAGGACTAAACGGTCATTTAGTGCTTTTAGGTTTTCCATGATGATCTAGTTTCAATTGACTCATGAATTCAACCATCAAATTACATACTAAACTTCTTACGAGTAATGAATACACTTTAGTCAGTATAACCAAGACTTCTTTTATTATTACTGTATTGATAGTAAAGTTCTTTTAGATAAATCAGTATTCATTACATTTTGGTTAGTAACAAATAAATGATCTTTACACTTCGAGATTATTAAAACAAAACATGTGATTGGACATTGAATCACTTAAAACAAATAGGATTTATTATTCTGTAGTAAAGAGATAATTGAGTATAAACAAATAGGTGAGTCTATTCAACAACATTCATTTGGTATTGATTTACATGCATATTCCCATGATTGTTTTAGACTGTAATTGATCAGTCTCTTGTTCGCATGTGTGCATCCTGTGAGGATTGCTTCGATATAGCCTAAAGTCACAAGCTTCATAAAAGCGATGAATAGTGACTAGTAATGGAATCTAGTTTGACATGTGTTTTGTCACATTTGGGACTCGTCAGCTGGATTCATCCTAATCTCAGGGGTCATGTTCACTTTGAGGCTCAAACGTAGTAGTGTCCGACTCAAACACCTTCCCGTTATTTACTTAGCCACTGAGTCCTGATAGTCACCTGCTTGTGCAATGTGGTAAAGTTTGAATTCAGTTGCTATTGTTTTACTTCTATCCTCCCGTTGTTATTTAGGACTTCTATTGATCAATCTCTTGTTTATCAATCTTTAATTTCTATTTACCATAAAGGATATAACAGTTCAATTTATTCTGAATGACTATGTATACGAAAATCTAACTGATGTTACAATCACAACAGTCTCTATAGAACCCCATTCTGATTTTAATTATCATATGCACACTCGTGATTAAAGTGGAATTGAGAATTGTTATATCAAGAACCTCAGTCAGCTACAACGTAGGATCAGGCACATATATGCATCGGCCCCACAGTTTGTACACCTACGCCATTGTGACCGATAATAAACTATATATCACATGGAGTCTACAATCATTGGTTAAAATAATCACACAGACTCCAACCAAGTAGTCTGCATATACCAACATGGCTCACATTAGATGTTAGTGACTAATCAGACTTCCAAGTGAAGTGGTCGATGCGTTCGACTACTTTACTCTCTTTCCTTAGTTCAGGTGTTGATGCAGACCAGTCCTGAAGCAACAACTTGCTTTTGGAGGGAGAGAAAGGCATCCAAAACATCCTGGCACTGTTGTTCAGTGCTTCCGAAACACTCTGTAAAAGACTCCTACACTAATCATCATATGCTCACTATTGACTAGTTTCAATATACATTTCATGGTGTTCTAGTGGGAATCCATGATCGTTGGAGTCCAATCCGTGTATGAAGGGTGTGCGACAGTTAACCACCTCAGACAATAGATGAAGACTTGACAAAAGCCACTGATCGATTGAAGTTAGACATTAACACTCTTTCATACCGGCTCAATGGTCTAGATGTCAAACGTTGACGCACGAGATCGTAAGTTCTGCATTCAAGTTCCACATGTTTTGTCGTGGATACACACTGCTGAGAAATTTCATACTAGGACAAGACGGCCATCTATTGCTTCCAAGATTTCAATAATGGTTTTAAGATATTCTTCAAAATTAATATTATTATTATTACTATCATTACATTTAAAAGTATTTACTGGATAAAAGAACACCTCAAATTCTATACTCATAACCACTGTTCCATACAAAATAATCCCACGACCAATCACATATGTTCAACCATTTTCTTTATTATAGAGAATCCTAACAGAAGTAGTCGGTTATTCCTTGAACTATTCATTAATGATGGATACTTCAACAAATGAACTGATCATTGTACTGAAATATGATCATTTATTGATTATATCAACATATACAAGAACAGTATATAATTCATTTTTATTTATAAACGGTTTATATTACAGGTATTGATACTTGTTACAGTACTAATAGGAGTTATGTTACTTGTCATAATCATATCATGCCAACTGTAAGCTACTTGTTGAATAATAATATCAATCTTTCAGAAAATCATTAATAATACAGTTTGCTGCATACTACTTGATTGTTGTCGGTATATTGCTGTATGTTGACTAGAATCCTTTTTATGTTACTTATAATCTTTTCATAACCTGAATCAACTACGACTTATAAGTAAACAACCTATTATGGTGGAGAAGATTTAAAGATCAGGTGGATGATTATGTCAGAGTTTTGTTCTCTGAGCTGGATGATTTAGACGTTCTTCTTTATTTATTCACTTAAGCACATAAGCATTGGTACAATGAGGCACCAAATAGGTATGCACCACATAAATCACTCGATTTGCACGACGGCTGGAATACTGCTCGTGTGCCTAAACCAAAGTGGGAGATTTTCTTAGCGGGCCATCCAGTAATAATCTATCACGCTTATCATCTCAAGATTCAGTTTAACTAAAACTAATGATATAATATATTGTTTAAAGTTGATTGTTTCTATGTCATAAATCTTCTAATTGAATGTTAGAATGAGTTCCTGAGCTCTTCTAGTAACTCCTAATCTAAAACTACACAGCAACTTGAACACGAGAGAAATGTTGCGAAATATGGAATAAACACTTTACTCCAAAGGTTCGTTTATGCACAGAAAATCAGGGGTTTTGTAGTATTTTAAATAGCCTTGGGTTTCCGAAAATTTTGGGAACTCTACTAAACATAATCGCAATATAAATGATCATCCAAAAAAGAAACTCGACACGTGACTTGTCGCTTTCTAAATGTTTATGGCAAAACTTCTATTGAATGCTGATTGAATAAGATGCTTCTCTGTATTTTAAGAGCCCTTTTCTAGCTTTTTTCAAGTTTTCTGGATCTCTCCGATACTATGATCTCAATTTTATCTGCAACTTCTATAGTAAACAAGAACATATAAGAAGGGACAACCAAATTCATTGTAACCCAACATTACAGAATATCTTGGTAAAATCTGAGAGCCATATAGTTAGTACTTCATATGCAAAATGTCAATCAATTGTCTAAGACTTTATTGTTCCTTCGTTTCCATACGAGTCATTCTCTGTTTTCGTTCCTTTTTCTTCGATCTTCTTAACCTTCTGTCTCCAGCCATTTCATTTTTGATTGATGATACATATTACTTATATCTATTGATATCAATAATCTACTCTACAGAACCTTCGACGTAATCCATGAACTATTAAATGTCTGAATAAACTAAACAACAATCATTCCTATTCATGATTACTGTATGTTTTTTTCTTAGTATTTCCAAATTTCATTAATATGCATAAAAAAACTCTTATACATGTTAATATATATATTTATTTCAATGGTTGATATCATGAGTCAATTGAAGCTAGAAAACCATGAGAAGCGGTGACCAGTGGAGTTCAACCGGGTCTTTCGTGAGATAATAAATCACTGAAGATAATGATGGATGTGTCACTCAATTTTATGGATTAGTTGAAGTTAAACATTAACAGCATTGGATGCCGGGCGGCTCAATGGTCTAGAGGTTAAGCGTTCGCCCGCGAGAGTGATAGGTCCTTGGTTCGAATTTCGCGAGGCGACATTACGGATGTGCACTACTGAGAAAACCCATACTAAAACGCGACGGCCGTCTAGTGCTTCAAGGTTTTCGGTGGTGGTGACGCTTCAATGGAATCATGGTCTCATCTATTGAAATTACCGTAATATCCCTAAAACCCTTTTGATATTGTTTATTCTTGATATGTTTTGTAGAGTTATCGCTTCAGTAATAGCATTGTTGATTGCATTTGTAAAGAAGATAAATGAAAAATATCCATTGAATGTCAGTCTTGCGATAATTTATGTAAGAAATGTTGAAAAATCATTTTACCTAGACGATAATAGTCTTTTATTTAATATTCACAAGTAAAATAAATTTATATGTCACTATAGGGTTGTGGAGGTTGTTGAGTTTAGAATGATAGCATGAACGGACTAATGTTTGATTACCATTTAAAACTTAAATGCATTAGACAGCCGTTTCGTCCTAGGATAAGATTCCTCAACAGTGCGCATCCACGATCTCACACGAAGGAATTGAACGCAGAACCTTCGGTTTCATGCGCAAACGTTGGGTTTACTTCAGGTTCATTCAATGAAATTTTACCAATACATTCTATCTCCTTATTAACCTACATTGATTCATTTTGCTTTTCTTAGTCAATATGCGTTGCTACAGTGGTTGGAATTTTGGATTTAAACTTGGATCTGAGTATTCAAATTAGTGCTTTTATAATCAACTTGACAATCTTTATACCTGCTCTATTAATTGGTGCATCAATTAAAACAAATTTAATGGATTCTTTCAAAGTTCTATTCATCATCCTTCCAGTTATTTCAGCTGTAATCATTTCAGCTATGGTTTTCATCTATTATTTTAAAGGAAATGTATGTTATTAAGTTACTGTTTTTTGTTGAAATTTGCTTCGAAATCCTTTAATAAAGTTTTATATCAAGAAAATCTAAAATCGTCGACATTCACAATTGATTGATCACTGAGTGGTGATCGATTTCATGTATTTCAAATCCTTCTTAGTTCAGATCGAATGATTTCGACCAAGTTGTAATTTGATCACTAGTCTAGATAATTCGACGTTGCATGCATTGTGCTGAGATAATATGGTGGTTTGAGTTAGTCAATAGGGAACCCTGGACTCGGTATTTGGCACTCGCCAGCAAATTATACACACGGATTCGATCCTATGTCACCCAGCTTTATAGTCAGAGACGTTATCACGAGGCTGACCGGGCCGCAACTGACTGAGATGTATTTGCAATTGATTGATCACTGAGTGTTGGTCAATGTCCAGGGTTCAAGATTTTCTGTTGACTACCTCCAACCATGACTTTAAGGTCGACATTATATCATTGATAATATGCAGTTTATGAACGTAATAGATTTTGCATATTATCACACTTGAATCCGTGAGTCAATGTGAACTAGATCATTATTGAAGACCCTGAAAGCATTGGAAGGTTGTTTCATCTTAGTATGAGACTTCTCAAAAGTGTGTATCTATGATTCCGTACACAAGACAATGAGTTCTTGCTTGATGTTTACATATACTCAATCTTTGACACTGAAGTTTTGAAAACAATTAAAAGCTATAAATAGTAAATTAGATTTACATCAAATGTTAAATTACTCATATATATATTGAGGGAATTATATGTTGATATAGCTAACAGCTTGTAGTGCTGTGTACTCTACTTATGTCCGTCAATATAAGTAGTATATAACACCAGTCAGAAGTGAAATGCCTGGCATTAGAAGGTTGAGATGATCTAACTGAATAGAACAGGACTGTAAACGGAGAGTAATTATAATGAAAATAGGAATAAAAGAGGAATGAATTTTGTAAGAGACAGTTGATGGAAGATGTGCAAATGAAGTACTTAATGTCTGGTTTTCATATTTTATGAAGACATTCTAGAATTTGTATTCAATAATAAATTGGTTATCCCTACCAAATCTTCGTCCAGTTCAACAGTACTGGAGGTTTTGTGTAACATAATTAAGTACTTGATCATTTAGATAGGCGAGAAAGATTTTGTCAATTTCCCAAAAGAGCTGACTGATCAAAAGTAGTTTTAACACTTTATTAAATTCACCAGTTTTTAGGTACTTGCAAATTCTCTGATTGAACGCTTGAATCAATTTCCTAAGCTCTTTTGGCAGGAGTGTTGTTTACGAGATCTACACGACACAACTTGAAAATGAAATAAAAGGCAACAAATATAGAAAGAATGCTCCACTTCAAAGTTGGTTTGCGTACAGGAAATTGGAATTCTGAAAAGTTTTGCAGCCCTACTAAACATAGTACCAGGATATGTAATTATCTAAATAAAAGTGTGACAGATGACTCATTCTAAGGACAATCTGGGCCTTTTTCACGGAATATTCAGGATCTTTCCAACAAGTACACTGATAAATTAAACTATACATTCATGTTTACTCACTGTTGAATTAAGAATTTGTTCACACTTTCAATTTGTTTACAGGTAAAGGTAGTAATAATTCTGTTTATATGTGCAGAAATATTACCATTTATTGTAAGTTGAATACACTTGCATTTCACTCATTTAAAGTATAATTACTTTCTAGTGAATGTGATCTAATTTATCATTCAGATTTAGAAAACTGTTCACTTTCCGAACGGTACTCAAGATAGATTATTAAGGAAGTAAATCGTTGAACGGATTTGAATAATTAGTTATTGTATTTTATTTCTGCGCAGGTTGATTATCATCTTACCATTTTGATCCATTTCTCTATTAGTTTTTTTGAGAGCAACTGATCAGGCTTTTATTGGCATATGTGCATCATAGAGTTGATGTTCACTCCAGGACTCAAACAACTAAACGCCATCTCGTTATTCACTTAGCTACTGAATCCTGAATGCCAGCTGCTGCTTGTGCAATGTGGTCCCAAATAGGAAGAAACACACGTCCTGGATTCCACTTCTAGCCACTATCTATCTTTGCTTACAATGCTTTTTAATTAAGGTTATATCAAGGTAGTTCGCAGAGGATGCATATATGCTAACACGAGAGAGACTGATCAATTACAGACCTAAACAACAATGGAAAGTTTTAAGCAAACAATATCAAGTGAATTCAAACTTGACCTCATTGCACAAGGAGACGACTATCGAGGCTCAGCAGATAAGTGGACAACATAGGTGACGTTTTAACCGGACAGTAATGGGTGCGAGACCCCATATGAGCATCAACCCTGAGATAAAGATAAATCCAAATGATGAGTTCCAAATAGGAACTGAACGTACGTCCTTGATTTCACCACTAACAACCGTCTAACTTTGCTTTTAAGGCTTCTAGTTCAATCACTTCATACTTATGTATGAAACTCTGTTCACCGATGTCATCAGTTAGTTCACTCCATTCATGTAATCATTATAACCATATTATATGAATTCTATTTCTTTTATAGACGACAATATTTTTCAGTCATTTCACTGTTGGAACATTACGATACCGATTATTTTATCCAAATTATACTTTGGCAGCATTATTATTGTATATTATGTTTTCAATTGCCTTGCCAATCACTGATGTTCTGGTTTATACCATAAGGAATAATTGGAATGTAACACATTCAACTGGATTGTTACTTGATAATGATAAAATCTTATAGTAACACTTCATTACAGACTATAAAACTTGTTTACTTATTAACTGTCTTAAATATATGATAATACATATTATTCAAGAGAACATATTGTATTAGATCAATGACTTGGAGAATAAAGATGAAGATAGAATTTGAATTGTCAAATATTCTGATTTGTGTGTAGTGGCTTTGCTTTGCTAATTAACCACTCTCGTAATCGTTATTATATAGACCTCAATAGTGTTTGAAATCAGGACGCAAAGAGGTGAGACGACCTTTAAGCAACACTAAAAAGACCTTGAGAATGTCCACCCTACATACTACGGCTAAATGATGATCATAAACCGGTGTGTGAGGAATCAGAACTACTATTTACATTTGATAGCAAGGGTTAAGAATCAGATATATGTTTTCACAACGAACTAACATCAACTATAATGCACAATTTCTATTTAGTTTCTATTTAGGTTATCGTAAACCTGATTGGTTCGTCTATAAATTATAGTCTTGCCGGCGACGAGAATCAACACCTGTAGTAGTTTATTTAGAGATCACAAAACTACAAGCACATCGAGAGTACTTGAAGCGGAGAGGCGAATGAGTATACGCGAGCAGCTTCATAGACATATTTATGGTCAAATTGTATAAAGGCAGAAGGAAGGCAAGGCAAGGCTAGGACTAATGAAAAGACGTGAGTACACATATACATAAAGAGGACGATGAATCATCGAGTGATATTTAAGAAATCGACATTTTAACAAGGTTGTTTTCTAAAGGATAAGGTTGCCGATCTTATGCCTAACTCTTTTCCTTTATCTGAGCATGAAACCAACAACAGATCTAGAAGAGCTACAAGTTGAGCCAATGAAGATGTAGTTAATGCTTCATCTAATAAATAACAGAATTGAATGTGTGGACGCTAATTTATGTTCAATAACATTAAGTGAAGTATGTGAACTAATGGAGTGATTAAATTGCATTAAAATTTACTCAAACGATTGTAAAGCTATATTGAATAAGTGTTTACAGGCCACACCACCTAAACAATACACTCGACATTATCCCTGCACTAGCATCCATAGAACTTCTACTTTTCCGCATGTCCTTTGACAGAAATGAAAAATGTAGTGAATGAGAAATTAGGTGGGTAAGGTAGGAATATCCCTAGTTCTAGGCACAATTCTCACAGCTTCAATGTTCTCTGAATCTGATCGTTGTCGTCTTTAATGGTTACTAGCAGATCTTAGGAGCCGAACCTAGCATTCAAACAACATGACATATCATATAGTTTAACTCAGAATCACAGAATATCTTGGTAAAATATGAAAATCATAGATTCAATACATTATTTACACATATTCCATCAGTTGTCCTTTATATGCTCCATGATTCTTCCAATTCTACTTTTATTTCAGTTCCTATCTGTTTCCTTTCTGTCTTCTTCACTTTGAATTTCTCAGTCTTCTACTGTCAGACATTCCATTTCTGATTGGTATTACACTCTAAGTATATCCGCCAGCATAAGTGGCATACACGTCAATTCTCTGCTTTCAGATTGACTAAAGAAAAATAGTAAAGATGAACTAATGTACTTTCAAGAAAATGAATTCTCCGAAACCGTTTGCTAAACAGAACTCAAATATAATAAATGAATCATTTTGACATTTTAGTTTCGTAAGGGGTTTTGTGGATATAAATCATGATATGCTCACTAGTGACGATCTCCAAGAGGTATCTCCCAAAGTCTTAGCGAGAGTCCGTGACTAGTGAAGTTGTGAAAGTGTCGTTCAATTTTGTGGATTACTTGAAATTTGACATTACCACAATTAAATTCTGGTCGGCTCAGTGATCTAGAGGTTAAGCGTTTGCTTGAAACTGTATTCCGCTGCTAGACATTATCCATCTTAAGGCTATATCGATGCAATCCATACAGGATGTACATTTTGTTATATCCCGATAACAATAATGAATGATAAATTTTGGGATCCATTTATGGGTCAATACTATGAGTATATTTTTATCGTATAATTGTTATGTAACTAAACTATTCATATTCATGTTGCTCGTGTTATAAGCTTTAATTTGACTCATAGACTATTACTATACGTTCTATCATTCTTGAATTATGCCCTGTCTATTAGTCACTGTCTCCCACATTCACAGCCCCATTTAGCCAAATCTTGTACAAATGTTGTTTCATATTTTATGTTACGTTGTGATCTGTCTGATTGATATGTAAACCGAGTATGTTTGAAATAAACGATTCATATTGCAGAGGCTGAGATTGGTGTTCTAGACTCAACTGGCTGGGTTAAGCAGAAAGCAGAACCAATCAGGACCCTAGGCTACTCGCACGTGTTTCATGCGTCAGTGGTTCGGTCATTAGTTTGCTGCTCTCTGATTAGCGGTAAAGTTGCGTTATACAATGAACAGAGCACAAAGGTTCACAAGTTATAACACATATATGTCAACAATAGACTTATCAGTTGCAGTCTCAAACAACATCTAGAGAGAAATATATTGGTTTCTTAATCAAAGTGTCGTTCATTTCAAAGGATTTGTTTGTTTGTTTGTTTGCCTGTTTTTAATATCAAATACAATGTCCTTTGGATTCATTCATGTCTGAGTAAACAGTTAGTTAAGCAAAACGTCACAAGTAGTATTTTTTTAATCACTCAAGTGTTTTAGTGAAGTTAATATAAACAACTTTTTGCATCAGGTACATTATATTATACATTGAAGTTTTACGAAACACAGGTAAGCTATTATTAATATTATAATGTGATTCATGTTAAACTATCATTGGAAACCTGTTAGCACTGGACGACTGTTCCATTCCAATACCATAGGACTCCTGCATGCCGGACTCAAACCCAAGAAATTCAGTGTGAAGCTAATGTTTCACATTGTTCATTGTAATTATGATATCTATTGTAAACTGATATTTAATTCAAAACCAATTCTGATAAATTTGAGTTGTTCCAATAAAGCTCTATGTAATACGTAATCAGGATATCAATATTTTTTATGATAAAAACAATACTGGTCTGCATACAGTTTACATTTACATATTTAACAGTTGAATTTGTGGGTTAATTGAAACTAGACCACCATGGTAAACCCGAAAACACTGAATGGTTGTTTCGTTCAAGTATGAGACTTTTCAGCTGTGTACACCCAAGGTCTCACCTCGCGAGATCTGAACCCGGCACGTACTGGTCTCGCGGGCGAATCCTTAACCTGTAAACCAACGATGTCAATGTCGAAATTCAACTAATTCATGTAATTCAGTAACACATCCAACATTGTCTTCATCGTGTTACTACCTCACAACAGACCCAGGTTGAACTATACTGGTCACTGCTACTCACTAGAACTCCAGGGAATACTTCTTGGAACCAGTCACTCGTGAGCATATAATGATTATGATCCAAATTGAGTTTTGTGGATATTACACTGATTTAGTAGTTGAATACATGGAAAACCTTGAAGCACTAGTTCGATTTCCGTATGCAGTTTCGTGGATACGCACTTTCTACGAATCTTATACCAGAACGAAACAGCTTTCTGATACTTTCAGTTCTTCAATAGTGGTCTAATTTAGATAGACACATAAATTTAACTGTATCCAATTATATAATTCAATTTATGTTATATTCTAATTCTAGATCATCTTTATAAACATGTTAGGAATTGTTCAAATTATTCCATGCATTTACATTATAAGAAGTAAAGTTCCAAATATATCGACTTATGCAACAAAAGTAAATTTGTGGTTTTGAATTAATAACAGGTTTTCATAATTCTTTACATTCAACTACTTATTACACTATTTATCATGATACTTTTCTTGCTACCGTAAGTTAATGAATCAATAACAATCTTAATTCTATTTTTAGTCATGTAAAAGGACTTGTAGGAAGTTTAATGGTACAATCAACTGTTACTGATGTATTAGTGTACGTTATTCAACTTAATTTCTATGTTATTTATAATCTCAATAGTTGAGATCATGAATCAATTGAACTTAGACTTCAAGAGTGTCATAACTTGTGACCGCTGATTAGAGACCAGTGACTTATCAATCGAATCAATGACACGTAAACCCTTATGAGCAGCCTAGAGTTTTGATTAACCCTGTTTTCCGCCTAGCCCAGCCGGTTAAATCCAGAATAACAATCCGAGCCTCTGTGACATAAATCATTATATTTCAAACATACTGAGTTTATATACCAGTCAAACAGATAACAACGTAGTACAAAATTTAAAATAACATTTGTACAAGATTTGGCTAAATGTGGCCGTGAATGTGGGAGATAGTGACTAATAGAAAGGACAAAATTCAAGAATGGTAAAACGTATAATAATGGTTCATAGGTCAAAATAAAGCTCATAATAAGAGAAACATGAATATGAATAGTTTAGTTATTTAATAATTGTATGATAAAAATTTACGTTTAGTATTGGTCCATAAATGGATCCCAAAGTTACCATTCATTATGTTTATCGGGATCTAACAAAGAGGTACTTCCCGGAGTACAAATAAGAAACAGCCACCAGTGGAGTTCAACCAGGCCTGTTGTGAGATAGTAACTCACTGAAAATAATGGTGGATGTGTGGCTCAATTTCGTGGATTAATTGAAGTTAGACATTACCACTCTTGGATGTCGACCGGCTCAGTAGTCTAGAGGTTAAGTGTTCATGAGTGAGACCGATAGGGGTTGAATTCAAATCTCGCGAGGTGGTATCGTGGTTGCACACTGTTGAAGTGTCCCTTACCAGGATAAAACGATCGTGCAGTTTTCCAGGTTTCTAACGGTGACTTAATTTTTAATTGACTCATGATCTCAAATAATTGAATTACTATAATATCCACAAAATCCCATTCCCATATCTATAAACCGTTGGTTTCAATAATTTTATACTAAATTTCAACCAATGAAATCAATCTATTGAGAGAAGAGAATTTTCTGGACGAACTAATCAGATATACCATAACAAGTTTTGGACTTTGGAGCGAAATTTATTCAACCATTTGATTGGTATTTTAACTGATATCATAGTCTGTGATGAAAAACCTGAATTCTAATTCTTAACCTTAACCATCAACTGCAAATCATAATCCTTATTCCTCAAAATGCTTCATAAATATCATTCAAACAAAAAAAAGTAGGAAGGCACTCTTAAGAACACTTTGACATCACTAAACTGTCGTATATATATATTATAGCTTTAACAATTTTCTTAACTACGATGTTATTTACTCATTTGTATTTGTGGAACAGATCCCTAACTGAATTACTTACATCGTAGCAAAGTTAATTACACGGTTATTAAGGAAACTGAAATATTAGGTCACATCTTGAATGATGAACAACTAAGAATTATGATTATAATGATTTAACAGGTGAATACATGACTCAATCAAAGCTGGACCACCATGTAAGACCTGGAATAATTGGACGGCCGACTTGTTCTGACATATGACTCCTCAACAGCGCGCATACACGTTCCCGTACTCGTGATCCAAATTTAGAGCCTATCGGTCTCACGCGCGAACGCTTCACCTCCAGACCACTAAAACAGCATCCAACAGAGTTAATGTCTAACTTCAACAAACAACATTTCCTTCAAAATAATTTATGAACTGAACAAGCATCATTTCTACATGGCCTATCTAACTATCGTATTTTCATCCGTAACCCTTTCATTTTTACTGTGTTAGGATATTCAAATCTTATTACATTCATTTGTAGATCATAAATAGATACTTCACTGTGTATAGATGCATATTTTCTTTTCTCTACTTTATAGCTTCATTGCAGTTGTGACAGCATTATCGATCGCATTTGTGAAGGAAATAAGTGATACATTCCCATTGAATGTTATTACTTTGTTTATTTATGTAAGAATATTGAATTGAATTGATGAGTTATGTTCTAATATAACTAGGCAACATGATTGTTCAATGTATTAAGCAAGTTTATATTGTTTACAGTAACTTGATGGATTATATAATGAACGTTTTTCAATGATTGATCTAAAACAGTAATACAGACTAAATGTTTTGTTACTAATTAGTGCTGTCATGCAAATATTAAAACCTTTCTGTGTATAAACCAATCAAATTGAATCTCTGAACGATTCCTAGTGTCAGTTATTACGTTAAGTTCATTTAACTTATTCTATCCTCTCGATAATTCGTTTCATCTTAGTGTGAGACACCTTGTGTATGCGTATTGCTGAGATGTCCCACATTAGGACGAAACGGTCGTCCAGTGTTTCCAGCTTTTCACTGCTGGTCTAACACTGATAGATCCACGATCCCAATCAAAAAAGTATAACGTAACTTAAGATTATGCATTTTGCAGTAGATAGTTTGAAGACGTCTCAATCATAAATTTCATAGCATTTTACACACTGAAAAACATTTGCATTGGAATTTGTCTACGTTAATTGCTGCATTATTCGTCAACTCTTCAGCTGGTATTTTTACGGAAGTCCTCTAGAAAAATCAATGAACCAACTTATGTCAATTGACCTTCATGTAGAAGCACAGGTCGCCTACCAACAATCTTCAACCAAATCTGTCCTGAGCAATTCTTTCCAGTTGTTTCCAGTTGTTATTCATCCTGACCATGTCTGCTACAAGTTTTCGTGTCAGTATGTTCTTTGGCCTTCCTCTTTTCTGTTTTCGTTTAAGATTCCAAGTTAGTGCTTACCTCGTGATACAGTTCGATGATTTTCACTATGTGTATCCTACTCACTTCCAACGTCTTTCCCCAATATCCATTTGAGCTACAAACTGTTTTGTTTCCTCCCACACAAGTCGGCTGTTGCTGATGTTTTCCGTTCAACAGACATTGAGTATCTTGTGTGAACAATCGTTTATTAATACACGAAGTAATGGTTAGGAGGACAAACGTTTATTATCTTATTAGAAATCTGAAGCGACTAAATCATGGATGGATAAATATTATATCATCAAACTTCTGAATACATTTTTGTTTAATGGTGCACATCGTCCATTTTATAATTTCAGACGATAACGTTAGCTACAGCTATTGAAATATTGGATATATGGGTTGGTATGGTTGCTAAATTTGGTGCTTTTGGAATCAGTCTAATATTATTTACATCGGCATTACTTATTGGTGCAGCTATGAAAACAAGATTAGCAGATTATTTAACGGCTATTCTAATACTGTTTATAATCGCTGCTATTTTAATTGCTGTAGCAGTATATTTAATCACAATTTTTAAACACGCGGTATGTCAATAAGCATAATTCATTCATTTACAAATTACAATATTTCGATTTTGCAGTATTCTTTGTGAGATACTCAGGTGTAGTTTAACGTTACTGTATACTATGTATATTTTCACAATAAGTACATACCGGTCAGATACTGTTTAGTATTAAGACACCTAACTGACGAGTGCCATATAGCACGAAACTTGAGTCCACAGTTTCCTGTCGACTAACTCCAACCACCATCTTATCACAACATAATGCACACAATGTCGAGTCACCTAGACTCATGACCACATTGCAACTTTGTCGATAGGATTCGACCTGCAGTAAGAAGGACCTAGTTAACATGACATTGATCACCACCCAGCAATCAATAAATTGTATATACATTTCAGCCTAACAAGAGGTCATTTGCGACCTGGATAACCCAGTGGTAACGCTGCTGAGATTTTTATGTTGGATCCGATGATATCATTCACTCTTATAGTAATTTAGAAAATGAACTTATATTTGTCATCAAATTTGGATAATTGAGATCCCGGAAAATATTTATCGTCATTCTTTCAAATCAGTAACCAGAATCTTAGCCGACGGACCGTAATTTATGGACGAATCAATCAGGTTCGAAATTCAACAATCTCAGCAGTGACTAGCATTTAGAAAAATTTCCGGGGCTTCAGTAAGGAAATTAGACATAATACGTGTCGGGTGTAAGAAAGTAACCAATCAAATATAATTGCGCAATGTCGTAGATTGATTGGAGTTAGATATTAACACTGTTGGATGCCAACACATTGGCTGATGATTCAGCGATGCGCATCTACGAACTTTACAACCGAGATTCGAGTTCGGGACCTTCATTACGACGCACTAATGCTTAACATCTTGACTTGAGTGTTTGAGAGGTTTAGTATACGTGACCTCAGTAACATTGTTTACCTCATTTAATCCAGTCATGTTTTCATAATATTCGATTTATATACAACTTCCGTTAGTTAAATACAAACTCATCAATATTTCTAATTCATTTTCAGTCAGCAGCGATCACATTCTACATACTTACAGATATATTGCTATTTGTTGTGAGTTAAAGTCATCTATATTTCATTTATTTAAAGTAAATTTGTAGTGGTTGGCACTATGTCAAGCCCACATAACTTATTTTAGTTCACGGACGGACCAATTTATTCATTCTTCCTGAGTCATATTTTGAACCTTGGTAATTACTCACTTCGCCTTGCCTTGCTCAGCTCTTTGCCTAGACTCGCTGTGTGAGTCGCTTCACTCGACTTCTTTATTGCATATCATTTTGTTTCGCTTCAATATTCGATCGGCAATTTTACAAATACACATATTCAAAACTTCATTCTCGTATATGACTTATTTTAATTCCCTTATTCACTAACGCCAGTTAAGTCGATCATTAAGTATGAGGATTCGCTATATGTATAAGTCGATAACGATCATTCGTACGATTCGAATGGAGTCAGATATTCAATGCGCCAATAAACATTTACTCTCTTGATGTTTTACAGATCATCTTATCATTCGCATTTTCCAAGGATCTGTTCGATGGAGTTTCATCGCCTTATTACAATAGCTGGTGAATGTGACCTGAAAATTTTGTTCACATAAATGAAATCGAGTTTCGTTTGACATATTACACCTTAAAGTGAAACATTTTCCAGTATGAGATTCTGGAGATTGTTACGTATTTGACAGAGTTCGTGAACTGATTGCTTTTAGACCACCATTGAAAACATGGAAGCATTAGACGGCCGTTTCGTCTAAGTATAGGTTTCCTTAACAGTCTGCACTGTCGATCTCACTCACAGTATTCTAACTCAAAACCTTCAGTCACACAACCAACGTTTAACAACTAGGCCAGTGAGCCGGCACCCAACGATGTTAGTGTCCAACTTTAATCGATCCACGAAATTGTGGAGCGATCTTATACTGTGTGCGGTTAGTAACTGCCTCATTCCAATAGGTTTGAATCCCTCGGGCTGGATCGTGGATGTCCACTGCTTAGTAGTCCTAAACTAGAACGAAACGGCCGTCCATCGCTTCCAGGTTTTCACTGATAGTCTAACATCAATCGATTCATGATCATTATTTTAATATATATTCAATGAAGATTGTTTGTTTGGTCAACCAAGGTATTCGTTATCAGATTTAATCTAACTGTTTCACTTCATTTATTTTATAGATAACAATATTTATCAGTCAAATAACAGTTGGCAAATTACAATTACGTATCTTTCGTACAGAATATACTTTGGCTGCATTATTATTATATAATATGTTTTCAGCTACATATTTAACCACTACTGGTATGGTTTGTAACATAACCAGTAATTGTAATAATTCAAATGCATCCATTTATCCATTCAACAATTTACCGGGATATATAATTTGAATTTGAAAACTTATGTATTATAAAACATAATTGATTTTCATCGTTTGTTTATTTATATCAAACTTCAAAGCATTTAACAACTCACGTACAACTGAGTTTGTTCTCATTTCATTCGGTTAAAGCCCTTTTGTTAACATATTTAGCGGACAAAGTCATCCGTAGTATAACAACTTATTGTACCTTTATTATTGTTGTGCTTGTATGTAATATGTATACTTGAACATTTGCTTACCACCTACGCATATATTCATTCTGCTAGCTTTATAATTAACTGCTTAATTGATTCGATGATTAGTTCATGGTATTGGAATCTAGTTTGATGCGTGCTTTGTCCTATTTGGGACTCGTCAGCTGGATGTACCTGAATCACAGAGTTGATATCCACTTCGGCACTCGAACCCAGTGCCTCTTGCTTCAAACACCATCGAGTTATCCGCTTGAATACTGAATCCTGATAGTCACGTCATCTCTGAGATGCAAATACATCCAGTTGACAAGCCCCAATTAGGACGAAACGCGCATCAGACTAGATTCCACTGCTAGCCATCTATATAACTTATGGACAACATTCGAACGACGCCGAGGTGAACTTGAGAGTGGACAACTACCAATTACAGCTAAATGAAGGTTACAAAGCAGTTAGAATTATAATTTACAGTTGATGGTTAGGGTTGAAAATTAGATTTAAGGTTTTCATCACGAATCGACATCGGCTATAATGCCAAAACTCTATCTCACCAAAAGCATGGATGAATTTCGTGCCCGAATTCGTTACCCGTTGTCATATATCTCATTGTTTCGTCCATAAATTACAATCTCGTCCATATTTGCTTATAATGCTAGTGACTTAAGGAAATGTCGAGGCGGTCCACACAGAATGTACATATGCCAATAAGAGAGGGAGAGATCGGTTAACTGCGGTCCTAGAAAACAATGAGAACATTCAAATAAACAACACCAAATGAATGAAATTATCTTTCAATGATATTATAAATCCTTTGAACAGTACTGCTCATTTTACATGACTTCATTCTGAGACTTGAATGGACATTTCTTGATTCTCATTGATATTTGTACACTTTCATACTTATTTACTTACTAACGTCTGTTACTCCCAATGGAGAATAGGCTGTCGACCAGCATTCTCCAACCCACTCTGTCTCCATTTCTCGGTGTAATGTGTTCTTTGGTCTCTTAGTTCTCCTTTGGCCATGAGGATTCCAAATGAGGGTCGATAAGAAATACGAAGATTATGATTACCTTAAAACAAACTGGTCATTGTATCGGTTAATTAAGCAGTAGATAGATAGATAAACTAATTTATACGTTGTCTGAAACGGTGTCTACGTAATAAACCAAATGTTTTCGGAGAAGTCACATAAAAGTCAATGAAGATTAATATTTACTTCAGTTGGCATTATGAATATGAACTGAGAACAAGAAATTATGTTGACTATTATACTGCCTGTGTCATACAAACGGATTGTACATGCTTCTATATCATCATGACTGTATTCATTTCATTCATATCAAGCTTCTTTTAAGCCATCAATACTTTAATAGTTGATTTGGTGAGTCGATTTAAGCTAGACCATCTTCTTTTATATGCTCCATGATTCTTCCAATTCTACTTTTATTTCAATTCCCATCTGTTTCCTTTCGGTATTCTTCACTTTGAACTTCTCAGTCGTCTACTGTCAGATATTCCATTTCTCACCGGTAGTACACTCTAAGTATATCTGCCAATATAAGTAGCATACACCTCGATCTTATGCTTACAGATAGACTAAAGAAAAATAATAAACATGAACTAAAGTTCTTTCAAGAAAATGAATTTCCTGAAACTGTTTACTAGACAGAAATTAAACATAATAGGTCAATCAATTTGACATTTAAGTATCGGGAGGGGTTTTGTGGATAAAAATCTACATATGCTCACTAGTGACGATCTCCAAGAGGTGTTTCCTGAAGTCCTAGTGAGATGCCGTGACCAGTGAAGTTGTGGAGGTGTCGTTCAATTTCGTGGATTGGTTGAAGTTAGACATTAACACCGTTGGATACCGGCCGGCGCAGTGGTCTACAGGTTATGCGTTCGTTTGAAAATGTATTCCGCTGCCAGCCACTATCTATCTTTGCTTAAAAAGCCTGTGACTTAAGGTTATATCGATGCAATCCGTACAGGATGCACAGATGTCAACAAGAGACTCATCAGTTGCAGTCTCAAACAACACCTGGAGAGGAAAGTATTGTTTATAAAAGACAACCAAGTAGCACAAATACCTGAGACAAATTTATAAGTAAGGTGATCGTTCAACAAAATTCAAGGGAAGACGATACAAATTCAAATAAACCTAAAGCTATCTTGCTGATAGTTGGCGAACCAATTGAGAGTCGTCATCTGGATGTACCTGCATCTCAGAGTAGATGCTCACTCCGAAACTCAAACACAGTACCGTTCGCTTCAAACACCATCGTATTATCTAATTTACTGCTGAGTTCATCCAGTATATCCAGCCGACGAGTCCCAAATAGGTCGAGATGCACATCAAATTGGATTCAACTACTAATCACTATTCATCTTGTCTCAAAAAGCTTATGACTTACGACTTTGTCGAGACAATCCGTACATGACGCACATATGCCAACAACAGATTGATCGATTGTAGTCCTAAAACAACAACAAGAAGATACAAGCAAACAAACAAAACCAAGAGAATTATATCGTTTTTGTTAATCAATTTGCCGTTATTTTCAAAGAATTTGTTTATTTATTTTAAAGATCAAATACAATGTCCTTTGTATTCAATCATATTTGAGTAGACAGTTAGTTAAGCAAAACATCACAAGTTGTATTTTTTGAAAATTTTCAATCATTCAAGTGCTTTAATGAAGTTAATATAAACAACATTTTAGATCATGTACATAATATTACACATAGACGTTTTACTAAACACAAGTGAGTTTATATTAAGATTATAAATGATCATTAAAAACCTGACAGCACTAGATGACCATTTCATCTTACTACGGTACTCTTCCGTAGTGCTCATCCACAATCCTCCATGCGGCAATCGATCCCATGACCTTCTAACTCGAGCTTTTTTCTTGACATTCTTGATTATAGTTATGATGTCTATTGTAAAATGATATTTGATTCAAAACTAATTCTGATAAATTTGAATTGTTACAATAAAGCTCTATGAAATGTGTCATCAGGATATTGATATTTTTTAATAGAAAACGACGAAATAACACTGGTTTGCATACGTTTTGCACTTACATATATAGTAGTTGAGATCATGAGTCAATTGAACTTAGACCACCATAGGAAGGCTGAAAGAGTTGAATGGCCGTCTCATCCTAGTATGAGACTCCTCAGCAGTGAGCATTCACGATTTCGCCTCGCGAGATTCCAACCTAGGACCTATCAGCCTCACGTACGAACGCTTAATCTCTAGACCACTGAGCCGGCCGGTGTTAATATACAACTTCAACCGATCTCTGAAATTGCGCCACCGTTCCTCATTGTCTTCAGTGAGTTCCCATCTGACAACAGACCCGGTTGAACTCCACTCGTAACTGCTTCTCACAAGAACACCAGGAAATGCCTTTTAAAGAACATCACTATTGATCATATGTTGAATAATATCAGAAGGGGTTTTGTGGATATCATAGTTATTCATTGATTGAGTTCGTGAGTCCATATAAGCTAGACCATCATTCAAAAACTTGGAAGCATTAGTTTCAGTCCCGTGTGTGGTTACGTGGTTACGTACTTCCTAGGAATCTCATACCAGAACGACACAGCCGTCTAATACTTCCAGATTATCAATAGTCGCATAATTTAGATAGACTCATGAATTTAATTGTATCATATTACACAATTTGATTTATTTTATATTCTAATTCTAGATAAACATGTTTGGAATTGTTCAAATTATTCTATGGATTTACAAAAGAAGAAATAAACTTTCGAATATGTCAACATATACAAAAATAGTAGATTTATGGTTTTGAATTAAAGTTATTTACTATGACAGGTTTTCATAATTCTTATCATCCAACTACTTGATACACTACTCATCATGATAATTTTCTTGCTACCGTAAGCTAATGAATCAATTATTATCTTTGTTCTTCCTTAGTTATGTAGTTCGATCTCTGGGAAACTCAGGGGTAGAATCAATTGTTTCAAGTGTATTAGTGTACGTTTTTCCAAATTTATTTCTACATTACTTATAATCTCAATAGATGAGGTCATAAGTCAATTGAAGTTAGACTTCAAGAGATATTTCCTGGATTTCAAATAAGAAGAAGCGACCAAAAGAATTCAACCTGGTCTGTTGTGAGATAGTAACTCACAGAAGACAATAATGGATGTACCGCTCAATTTCGTGAAATAATTTAAGTCAAACATGAACACCATTGGATGCTGGCTCAATGGTATAGGGGTTAAGGGTTCGTGATCGAGATCGTTAAGACATGGGTTTGGATCAACAAAATTCCCTTCTCATATTTATAATCTGTTATTTTAATAATTTTATGCTAAATTGTCACCAATTAAATCAATCCATTGAGAGAAGAAATTTTTCTGGACGAACCAATCAGATATATCATAATAAGTTTTGAATTTTGGCGCGAAATGCATTCGACTATTTGGTTGGCATTTTAACTGATGTCATAGTTCGTGATGAAAAGCCTGAATTCTAATTCTTAATCTTAACCATCAACTGCAAATCATAATCCTTATTCCTCAATTTGCTTCATAACTTTTATTTAACCCAAAAAGTATGTAGACACTCTCAAAAACACTTTGACGTCACGAAAATGTCGTATATATATTATGACTCCACCATTTTTCTTAACTATAATGTTATTTACTCATTTGTCTTTGTCGAAAAGACAAGCACACTTCAGAACACTGCTTCAGTTGACTGTTCAAAGGAGGATATTGGTCAGTTGATAGGTCAGGGTTTGAATATATGAATAACGTAAACCAGCATCACAATGATGGCAAGTGTGAGCAGTCAATATAGTCTGTTCAATAGTTTTAATTAAAAAAATTGTAAACATTGAAGAAGAATATTGTGATTTATATCCTTCTATTAATCAGTTCAACTGACATCTTGATTGGATTAACCATTGACCAAACTATTCTCAATAGTTTATTCATTGAAATGATGAGATTTATTTAGATGCTAGACTGTTAGAAATGTCTAACTCTATTTATAAATCATTTCATGAATTGATGTCGAACACTGTTTGAATGACTTTATTTCATTTGTGACAAATATCATGACTAAACGTTTGATTTGGTTTCCTAAGCTCTTCTAGTAAGTCTTAGGTCAAATCTACATGACAACATGAACACGAGAGGAAAGGTGTGAAATGTGAAAAGAATGTTTATTTCAGCGTTAGCTTGTGTTCAAATAATCAATAGTATATATAGCATTTCAGATAACATTGTGCTTCTAAAAATTCCGGAACTCTTTTAAACATGGAATGAGGATGAATACTCATCCAGTTAGAAATATTAGACGTGACTCTTCACATTCTAGATATTTCTTGGAAACGTCTATGCAATGCTGATTAGATATAGAATCTCCTAGATTATTTTATGTCTTCTTAAGTTTTTTCAGGGAATATCCTGGATCACCCTAACAATCTGGTAAGCAACATTTTTTACATAATCTTCCCTAACTGAATTACTTACATCGTAGCAAAGTTAATTACACGGTTATTAAAGAAACTGAAATATTAGGTCACATTTTGAGTGATGAACAACTAAGAATTATGATAAATCCCATTGAATGTTATTACTTTGTTTATTTATGTAAGAATATTGAATTGAATTGATGAGTTATGTTCTAATATAACTAGGCAACATGATTGTTCAATGTATGAAGCAAGTTTATATTGTTTACAGTAACTTGATGGATTATATAATGAACGTTTTTCAATGATTGATCTAAAACAGTAATACAGACTAAATGTTTTGTTACTAATTAGTGCTGTCATGCAAATATTAAAACCTTTTTGTGTATAAACCAATCAAATTGAATCTCTGAACGATTCCTAGAGTCAGTTACTACGTTAAGTTCATTTACCTTATTCTATACTCTCGATAATCCGTTTCGTCTTGGTATGAGACACCTCGTGTATGCGTATTGCTGAGAAGTCCCACATTAGAACGAAACGGTCATCCAATGTTTTCATTGCTGGTCTAACACTGATAGATTCACGATCTCAATCAAAAAAGTATAACATAACTTAAGGTTATGCGTTTTGCAGTAGATAGTTTGAAGACGTTTCAATCACAAATTTCATAGCATTTTATGCACTGAAAAACATTTGCATTGGAATTTGTCTACGTAAATTGCTGCAGTATTCGTCACCTCTTCAGTTGGTATTTTTACGGAAGTCCTCTAGAAAAATCAATGAACCAACTTATGTCAATTGACCTTCGTGTAGAAGCACAGGTCGCCTACCAACATTCTTCAACCAAATCTGCCTGAGCAATTCTTTCCAGTTGTTATTCATCCTGACCATATCTGCTACACGTTTTTATGTCAGTATGTACTATGGCCTTCCTCTTTTGTGTTTTCGTTAAGCATTCCAAGTTAGTGCTGGCCTCGTGACACAGTTCGATGATTTTCACTATGTGTATCCTATTCACTTCCAACGTCTTTCCCAATATCCTCTTGAGCTGCGAACTGTTTTCTTTCCTCTCACAGAAAGGCGGCTGTTGCTGATGTTTTACGGTATACGAGCATTGAGTATCTTGTGTGAACTATTGTTTATTAATACTCGAAATAATGGTTAGTATGACGAACGTTTATTATCTTATTAGAAACTTGAAGAACAATCCGAATCGACTAAATCACGGATTGATAAACATTATATAACTAAACCTCTAAATACATTTTTGGTTAAAGCTGTGTATCCTCCATCTCATATTTTCAGACAATCACCTTAGCTACAGCTATTGAAATGTTGGATATATTGGTTGGTATGAGTGGCAAAATTGGTGCTTTTGGAATCAGTCTAACAATATTTACATCGGCATTACTTATTGGTGCAGCTATCAAAACAAGATTAGCAGATTATTTAACGGCTATTCTAATACTGTTTATAATCGCTGCTATTTTATTTGCTGTAGCAAGTATTTTAATCACAATTTTTAAACACGCGGTATGTCAATAAGCATAATTCATTCATTTACAAATTACAATATTTCGATTTTGCAGTATTCTTTGTGAGATACTCAGGTGTAGTTTAACGTTACTGTATACTATGTATATTTTCACAATAAGTACATACCGGTCAGATACTGTTTAGTATTAAGACACCTAACTGACGAGTGCCATATAGCACGAAACTTGAGTCCACAGTTTCCTGTCGACTAACTCCAACCACCATCTTATCACAACATAGTGGACACAATGTCGAGTCACCTAGAATAGTGAGCACATTGCAACTTCGTCAATAGAAATCGAACTGCAGTAAGAAGGACGTGGTTCACATGACATCGATCACCACCCAGCGATCAATAAATTGTAGATGCATCTCAGTCCAACAAGAGGTCAGTTACGATCAGGATAGCCAAATCATAACGCTACTGATATTTTTAATTTGAATCCGATTATATCATTCAGTCCTTTAGAAAATGAACTTATATTTGTCATCAAATTTAGATAACTAGGATCCCGGAAAATATTTGTCGTCATTCTTTCAAATCAGTAACGAGAATCTTAGCCTACAGACCATAATTTATGGACGAATCAATCAGGTTTGAAATTCAACAATCTCAGTAGTGACTAGTATTAAGAAAAAATGTCCGGAGCTCCAGTAAGGCCAGTAGACATAATACGTGTCGGGTGTAAGAAAGCAACTTATCGAAGATAATTGCGCAATGTCGTAGATTGTTTGGAGTTAAATATTAACATTGATAAACATCTTGACTTGAGTGTTCTAGAGGTTTAGTATATTTGATCTCAGTAACAGTGTTTATCTCATTTAATCCAGTCATGTTTTCATAATATTCGAGTTATATACAAATCATCAATATTTTTAATTCATTTTCAGTCTGCAGCGATCACATTCTACATACTTACAGATATATTGCTATTTGTTGTGAGTTAAAGTCATCTATATTTCATTTATTTAAAGTAAATTTGTAGTGGTTGGCACTATGTCAAGCCCACATAACTTATTTTAGTTCACGGACGGACCAATTTATTCATTCTTCCTGAGTCATATTTTGAACCTTGGTAATTACTCACTTCGCCTTGCCTTGCTCAGCTCTTTGCCTAGACTCGCTGTGTGAGTCGCTTCACTCGACTTCTTTATTGCATATCATTTTGTTTCGCTTCAATATTCGATCGGCAATTTTACAAATACACATATTCAAAACTTCATTCTCGTATATGACTTATTTTAATTCCCTTATTCACTAACGCCAGTTAAGTCGATCATTAAGTATGAGGATTCGCTATATGTATAAGTCGATAACGATCATTCGTACGATTCGAATGGAGTCAGATATTCAATGCGCCAATAAACATTTACTCTCTTGATGTTTTACAGATCATCTTATCATTCGCATTTTCCAAGGATCTGTTCGATGGAGTTTCATCGCCTTATTACAATAGCTGGTGAATGTGACCTGAAAATTTTGTTCACATAAATGAAATCGAGTTTCGTTTGACATATTACACCTTAAAGTGAAACATTTTCCAGTATGAGATTCTGGAGATTGTTACGTATTTGACAGAGTTCGTGAACTGATTGCTTTTAGACCACCATTGAAAACATGGAAACATGAGACGTCCGTTTCGTCTTAGTGAAGGTTTCCTTAACAGTCTGCACTGTCGACCTCACTTACAGGATTCTAACTCAAAACCTTCAGTCACACAAACGAACGTTTCACAACTAGGCCAGTAAGCCGGAATCCGACGATGTTAGTGTCCAACTTTAATCGATCCACGAAATTGTGGAGCGATCTTATACTGTGTGCGGTTAGTAACTGCCTCATTCCAATAGGTTAGAATTCCTTCGGGCTGGATCGTGGATGTCCACTGCTTAGTAGTCCTAAACTAGAACGAAACGGCCGTCCATCACTTCCAGGTTTTCGCTAATAGTCTAACATCAATCGATTCATGATAACTATTTTAATATATATTCAATGAAGATTGTTTGTTTGGTCAACCAAGTTATTCGTTATCAGATTTAATCTAACTGTTTCACTTCATTTATTTTATAGATAACAATATTTATCAGTCAAATAACAGTTGGCAAATTACAATTACGTATCTTTCGTACAGAATATACTTTGGCTGCATTATTATTATATAATATGTTTTCAGCTACATATTTAACCACTACTGGTGTGGTTTGTAGCATAAACAGTACTTGTAATAGTTTAAATGCATTCATTCAACAATTTACCCGGATATATAATTTGAATTTGAAAACTTATGTATTATAAAACATAATTGATTTTCATCGTTTGTTTATTTATATCAAACTTCAAAGCATTTAGCAACTCACGTACAACTGAGTTTGTTCTCATTTCATTCGGTTAAAGCCCTTTCGTTAACTTATTTAGAGGACAAATTCATCCGTACTATAACAACTTATTGTACCTTTATTATTGTTGTGCTTGTATGTATTAAGTATACTTGAACAATGCTTACCGCCTACGCATATATTCACTCTGAGATGCAAGTAAATTCGATGGAGAATAGGCCATCGACCATCATTCTCAAACCCACTTTTTCCTCAGCCTTCTTTTCTAGTTCTGTCCAATTGTTATTCATTCTTCTCATATCTGTCTCCATTTCTCGGTGTAATGTGTTCTTTGTTCTGTTCCTTCTCCTTTGGCACTGCGGATTCTAATTGAGCGTTTAAACACTCATTGATTGATAAGAATTGTTAGTATTATAATTAACTTAAAACAAACTAATCATCGTATCGGCCAATTGGGCAGAATATAGATAGATAAACTAATTTGTATGTTGTCTAAAACAGTCTTTACATAATAAACTGAATGTCCGAATTATAACACTTCATCATGAAAGCCGAGATTCTTTGAAGTTCTCGAAACCGATGCCACTTCTGGCAACCACAACAACAATTTGTATAGGTACATGGAGTGTCCGGACAATGTGAAGGAATAAAAAACTACTATGGAGGACAACTGGAGAGGAATCAAAGAAGCATTAACTTTAACATATCAGTTGTAAAATTGCTTGACGTGTTTGATAATGAGAACCTTAGATGATTTGAAGAACTAGCGACGGCGTCGAAAAAAGCAGGAAATGAAGGAAATATGAAACAGCTTTACGATACAAAGAAGAAACTATAAGGGGAATACAGTAAAAGAGAGAGACCAGTCAAAGACAAAGTAAGCAAGACAATCACTAAAATTCAACAACATAAGAACGGATGGGTTGAATAATTTGAGGAACTACTGAATAGGCCGGCTCCAATGAATCCACTGTTCGCCGAATCAGCACAAATAGATAGTCCTAAAGATGTCAATCCACCAACGAAGGAAGAAATCAGATCAGCCATCTGAAAAGTCAAGGACCCATTAACATACCAGATGAAGCATTGAATTCAGACATCGAAGTAACTACAAACATGCTTCACCTTGTAATCGAGAAGATTTGGGAGGTGGAACAAGTGCCGATGGACTGGAAAGAAGGGCACCTCGTCAAGATTCCAAAGAAAGGAGATCTGTCAACACCAGGGAAGGTCTTCAACAAAGTGTTGCTGAACCGGATGAAAGACGCAGTAGACGCCCAACTTCGAGATCAACAGGCTGGATTCCGTAGGGATCGGTCGTTCACAAACCAAATTGCAACACTACGGATCGTCGTTGAACAATCAGTTGAGTGAAACTCGTCACAGTACATCAAGTTTATTCAATATGAAAAGGCAGTTGAAGGTGTGGACATGAGAACGTTATGAAAATGGCTTCTACACTATGGAGTTACTGAGATGACTGTCTACATTTTTCAGAATTCATACGACGAACTACAGTGCAAAAATAGTGTACGGAGGACAGCTGACAGATGCATTCCAAGACCTCGACATCTGAGGGAAAACATGGTATAAAACGGACAGCTCAGAACCAGTAAGACAATAAGGACTATGCAGACGACCCAGCCCTCCTATCGCACACACACGAACAAATGCAGATAAAGACAGCCAGTGTAGCAGCAGTCTCTTAATCAGTAGGCCTCAGCATACACAAGGGGAAAACCAATGTCTTCAAATATAACACAGGGAACAGCAATTCGATCACACATTGATTGCGAAACTCTGAAAGCTGTAGAATCATGCACATACCTGGGAAACATCATCGATGAACAAGGAGGATCAGATACAGACGTAAAGGCGAGGATTGGCATAGCAAGGGTCGCCTTCCTACAATTGAAGAACAAATGAAACTCAAAACAACATTCAACCAATATCAAAGTCAGAAACATGTGTTTTTCTTAGCGAGCTACACCTAGAACCTTTGACCTAAAGGTCTAATACATTAGGTAGTGAAGCGATGTGAAGAGAAGTAATTACATAGTAACCAATGATCAAAAGTTGCTTCATACACTATTTGTTCCTTCAGGATACTGGAGTCCATGTTCACCAATGGTGTGAAATTAGGGTTTTACTCCCCAATGTCGACCGTCCGTGTCCACTAACCCATTTAAAACACCGAATAATCGATTTTAATGCTCTCAATTTCGTAAAAAATACCCAACGTGCGAAAAGGAAGTGAGTGTGATTGGTTGTATACACGTGATTATGTAAGAGCATTTCGAGAGGGATGGCTGATTCGCACGATCTTCGACTGTATCTGGGCACTTGTGGGCTGTTATTGACGAATCATGAACGCGACTGCAATACTTCATTTAATATGACACACAAAACCAGATCATAAAATGAATAACATTATTTACTATATTTAGTTGTGCAAGTTGATCATATGGTAGTAGAATCGTGCATTAGGATGATGTACTTGTTGGAAGTAAACTTCTTATTCTGTTTTGCACTATTTAAAGCAGTTGTTATCAATGAAAAGCAAGAGAGCATTTGGTGATGGAGTGCGAACTCTTCTCACCCCCGACTGTACCAGGACATTTGGGGCTTCTATCTTTATATTTCACAAAATTGGTGTCTTTTTTATATTTGGAAAGATACTCATGTATTAGAGATAGCCAGTTCTTTTGATCTACTGGTTGTGCACATTATCTTCAAAATAATCGAATTGTTTAGATCAATATTATTAGCAGAGTATTACTGTTGAAGCTTAGATTTTTACTTGTCTTTACAAATGTTCTACGTTTGAGATTGTGATCAAATGAATCGAACTTTGTGGTACGAAATAAATTGTTCGATAGTAGATCGAATGAACAATCCTGACTTTAATGTTGTTGCTGTTGTAAATCCTTCTCAAGATTTGTTTTTTAATCACCGAAATCAATATCTATGTGAAACGTATTCTTTGGCTTTGAGTTCGTTGATGATTATGGAGTTGTAAGCATTGTAATGGTGTCAAATATGTAGATGAATACCTATTCTTGATCAATATTTTTCCAAAAAGGTTTAATTCTTTGCCTGTATGATATCAGAACTGTTAATCTATTGCATTCATTTATCAAGAGAGGTTTCAGTAAATTCGATTTTCCGCCAATAAGGATCCACGTGCAGAGGTTTTAGACTGATTAAATCGAACCAATTATTTGCGTTTCATATGGGTTATTCATTAAGATGCCTATTTATTATATAACACTACAAGTCTCGATCAATCAGAACTTCATCTCAACTTACGACCAAGAATGTAAATTACAATAGTCTACAGATTAGAAAAAAAGGCAAACGGACCACCTTAAAGCATATTTAGCCATTTACCAACTTATTATCGCTGTATAGACGACACCTTCAAAGTACTAGAAAAAGAAAATGATAAAGACAATTTACTTAATACATTTAACAACGTTCATCCATCAATTATTTTTACATCAGAAGATGAACAGAACGACAGCATATTATTTCTAGATGTCGAACTAAAAAAAGGGTAGACGGAACTTTAAGAAGAGGGGTACACAAAAAGTCTGCAGCAGGACAATACACTTATTTTCATAGTGCAGTTCCAATCAGATATAAAAGGAACTTGATAAAGATCTTGACACATCGAGCTAGAATGATTTGCTCTGAAGACACCATTCAAGAAGAATTGAGTAATATTCGAAACCTACTTAGTATGAATGTGTATCGCATGAAATTCATTGACAAACATATGATGGAAAAGAAAACAAGGACGAAGATACCCACCCCCCATAAGAAGTTACTATTCATAAAACTACCATTCAAAAATGACACCATTGAAGAAATCTTGACTCAGAAACTAAGAAGATCCGTACAAAAAACATTTAATGCTGCCAGATTAAATGCCATCTTCTACAACTATCCCAAAATAAGAACAGCCAACAAAGACAGACTGCCTGAATTCGCCTAATCTATGTGTATCTATCGTTTCAACTGCTCCTCTTGAGCCAGTTATATTGAGCTTACAATTCGGCAAGTCCGTAATCGCATTACTGAACATCATCCGTCGTGGTTAAATAAAGGACAGGTAAAAGTGAATAAAAGTTCGATTATATCTCACTTGGTTGACACAGGTCATCAAGTTGAATTGAATAAAGCTTCTAAAGTTATCTACAATATCCGATCAAACTTGCCACATGGTTTACGAGTGCGCCTCTTGCACATTGCGGAAGCCATCGCAATCCATGTTCATAAACCTGACCTTTGCATTCAAAAGAGATTTGTACAACCACTTTTTTGCCCTGGCCATCAGTTTAAGATTACCTTCAAAAGAACTATTTTTCATACTTCTTCCCCTTGTTTTTTTGTTAACTTTTGTAATTTTGTTTCTGTTGCTTTTGAATTTAATAAATTCTCAACATTCATCTCTTGATTCTTACGTAACTACCATCCTATTGACCATCCGTTAAAATTCTGTTCCTTCCTTGTTTCTTACATTACGCAACGTAGCAACTTCTTGATCACTTTGAATATTATTAATCCTCTTTCTTTCAAACAATCAATATTAATTTAAATGTCATTGTGTAATTATTACGTAACTTATCTACTCCATGAGTATTATATTATTATTTTAAAACGTATATATATTAGTGTAGAGCCATGATGAAAAACTAATTTAAAAGAAATTTCTTCGCTCAATTCGTTCCTTCTAAATGTCCTAACATTCTAATTCATTAGGATATCATATCGAGTCACGTATGTAATTGGTGTTGTGTGTTTTGATCGTCAATTCCAATGCTGATACACAAAACTTTCTAATTGTTTGTCCATGGTGGT